CAGCTTCTTTAAAGTACGTATGGTGGGGCTGTAGAGATAGCTCAGTGCCTTAAATACCTGCCTGGTAAGTGCAAGGTCCTGAATTCAATCCCTGGTACTTATAACAGAGTAATATCATAACAGAGTAATCTAAATGAATGGAAATGTTTTCTAAAATTAAAATGGAAACAGGATTGCATAGCCTCAAATGCTCCAGAGTCTAAATAGGTTACTCATTTTATGGAAAATCTAGAGAAGTTGCTATGAAATGGATCACTAGTACTATGATTGATCAAGTGTATGGGTGGGTAGATGGGTAGATGGATGATGGATGGATGGATGGATGGATGGATGGATGGATGGATGGATGGATGGATGGGTAGGTGGATGGGTAGATGGATGGATGGATGGGTAAATGGATGATAGATGGATGGATAGATGGGTAGATGGGAAGATGGATGATAGATGGGTGGATGGGTAGATGGGTGGATGGATGGATGGATTGATGAGTAGATGGATGGAGAGTGGATGGATAAAAGAAGGTGAAGTCATAGTCTGAATTTTGAACCATTTTTATCTCAGGGGTGAAGGCACTCCCAGCGTATTTGAGAGGTCAGTTTCCCTTAAGAAACAGTAAATTCAACTGTCTTTCTTATACAACATGTGAGTCAACGCCTGTGAGAGCCACTTAGAGTCTGCAAATGTGCCAGACATTCTGTAAATAGCATTCACTTATCAGTATGTTTCCTTTTGCCATTCCCTGTTCATCTTGTCAGACAGTGATTATGATTGTTATGGGATAGGACTCACAGATAATTTTTAATCATAAAAGTAATCCTGACAATGAAGACTTCATACTTTCTAATACTGATCCTGAAGGAAGATCAAAACATATATGTAATTCAATAGCGCATGGTTTTGAAGGAATATGGTCTTAAGTTCAACTCGCAGCTTTTATCATTTCTGAGCTGAGTGACCTTGCATAAATTCTTTTTTCTTTCTAAGCCTGGAGGAGTCATCCTGGATAACCTCACAAGGCAGCCGCTAAATAAATCCTGCCATGATCGGTGGCAATTCCTTTCTACCAGGCAAGAAGGCAAATAAATTGGCTGACAAATGTTTACTTTTTATTTTTTATTTTTTGGCAGAACTGGGAATTGAAATCAGACCCTTGAGCTTGCCAGGGAAGTGCTTATACCACTGAGCCACCTTCTCGGCCCCTGATGCTTACTTTTGGCCCTTAAGAAAAGCATAGTCCAGGGAGAGGTGAGGAGTCAGGACACAAAACCTTAGGACAGCCAAGTAAAAACTGAACATTGAAGGGGCTCCATTTTTACCAGTGACCGTGAACAGCTTCCAAAAGCGCACCTCTCATTTGTCATTAAATCCTCCACACAGCCTTCCCCGCAATACTGATACATTACTGAAACATTCATACACAAAACTTCTAACTGAAGTATATTGTTATAGAACAGCAAACATTCAATTCCCAAGGGATGTTAATATTTTGAAATCTGAACAATTCAACCATACACTTTTTTTTTTTTTTTTTTTTTTTTGGTGGAACCAGGGATTGAAGTCAGGCCTTTGCACTTGCCAGGGAAGCACTTATTCTACTGAGCCATCTCCCTGGCTCCCACATTTTTTTAAATGGCTTTCAGGAGCATGATATCCAATTAGGAAGAGATGAGTGTTGAGTGTTCATTATCTTTGTATTTTAATATAAGTTAGCATTAAGTTTCATAATAATGATTGCATTTAACAACTGACTTGGGAATTTTAACATGCAAGTTTCACTACCTCAGAGCAAAGGATCTAGGCGAGTTCTTGATAGTTAGGGCTTAGTCTGTCTACAAAATGAGAGTGCGAGATTAGATAGCCCCAAAAGGATACACCACGTTTGGTAGTCGGTGGTGTTCTTTCCGGAGGATGAGGCAGAAGGATGATGTGTTCTAGTCTTTTCTGGACAACTTTCTGAGATTGTCTTTGCAAATAAAATGAGTAGCAAGTAAATAAACAGCCTTTCTTTAATCCCGGGGGATGAAGAGAGAGAGAGCGAGAGAGACAGACAGAGACAGAGAGAGACAGACAGAGACAGAAAGACAGACAGACAGACACAGACAGACAGACAGACAGACAGACACACACACACACACACACACACACACACACACACACTTATCACTTTCCCTAAGGCAGAAAACAGGAAAATAGCATTGATCACAACCATCACCTATTTCTACTTTACCTAGTTTCTACAAAAACATTCCTCTTCCTCCTGCCTACCCTCCAAGTGCTCTGACCCTCCACTCCACACCCTTGCTTCTGACTCTCAGGACCTGCCTGGATTTAATGTCACTGCCAGCAGCTGTGAAACTCCAGACAAACCTCCACCTTCTCCCTTCTCCTAGACCAGCCCCTGTACACTGCGGGTGCCCACCAGTTCACCCTGTCCCTCATGCTGTCAACTCCTCTGCCAAGATTTTTCTGCACACCATTCCTTTTCCTTCACATATCTTGAGTTTTCTTCTCTTACTTTGGGTCCTTCCTATCCACTTTTCCTCTTTAGGGATAGTTCAGATTCTTCTCATCAAACTGTAACAAAAGAATATTGCCTTTCTACTTCCTTCTTTAATCCTGAGATCATTGACATTTGAATATAGAGGTAGTGTGAGTGTCAAGTTGCCAGTGACCTATTCATGTGAAACCAATTTCTGACGTCTTATCTTGGTCTGAATCCCTTATCTATATCATGCGGCTGATCGTTTAGAAAATCCTTGCTTCCTTGTCAGATACCCTAAACTTCTCATAGTCTGTAAGTTCCATACGGAGATCCCGTCATAAATTCATTCATAGGCACTTCAAACTCAACATGCTGAGATGCAATGCACTGTATCTCCTCCAAGCCAGAGTTTTCTACTGTATCTACTAATGTAGTTTGTGGAATCTCGAACACTCAGTTCAAGCAAGATGAAAATGGGCCTGAGTTCTCACTCCCCCTTTAATAATAACACAGTCAATATTTGATTTATCCTTTTCATTAATAGTCTCTTTTTTCATTAACTGGTCTCCATTTTTTTCCAGTTCCTCAAATTCTTTGTTGTTTTCTTACTGTACTAGCGCAGAAATTCACTAAAAACTGCTTTACCTATAAACTGACATGTTGTAACCCTGCTTCCATATAACGTATAGATCAGTAAAACATATTTTGTGTCCATTTCATATTTCAAATTCCTTAGTGCTGTGACGATAAATGTATTACCCTACAAAAGTGATAAATATGTATAGATTTAAATACATATACCAGGAAGTATATGTGTCTACAACTGACTGAACTAAATAAAATTGGAAGATCCTATCGATGTGAATATGTATTCTTGTTGTGGTATTTATGATAGTTTCATAAGATATTGCCATTGGAAAAAAATCTAGGTAAAGAATAGCTCAGCCCTGTATTACACATTACTATTATATATAAATCTACAATTATTTCCAAATACAACGTTCCTCTTAAAACACTTTAAATACAAAAAATTTGCATATAAAATTCTATATTTTTCTCCTATAACGTTTTCCAATATTTTCTGCCCAAGATTTGAGGGCCATGCTACCCTAGAGTTGCTTGTAATTTTCTCACTTTCACCAAGCTATTTTTCATTTTAATACCTTGATTACACTGTTAGCATAGACCATCCACTCTGTACTGGTAGCTTCCACCTGGCGTGGTGAAGAAGGGCCTCATCATTTGTGTCTCTTCTTGGTCCTGAAATGAGATTGTATATTGCATTTTTGTATTTTTATAGCATTTTCCACTCTGTTACTCTAGTTTTGCTTTTCTGTTTTACTCCTGCACCTCAACCTCCTAGAGAGACGAGACAATCTTATGTTTTATTTCCAATGCCCTTTATGCTTCCAGGAAATAAAGCATGTTCTTTACATAGTTAATTTCAGCAAATAAAAGTGCTGTCACAGGTAGTTAGGTAGCATCATTTGTAAATCCAGTGCTATTATCTTCCACTATGCAACTACATAAAAACATAAATTTGAAATCTTAGAAAAACTGATTATTCTAGTATATCATTCATTTCTTTATGATACGAATAGTAATAATTAAGAGCTTAGTTAATTTCATTCTGGGATAAAATTGGTCCATTGATCATCACAGAAACACTGCAGGAATAATAGTTAAATTTGGAGACTGCATCAATTGAGAAATCAAATATATATATATATATATATATGTAAATGGGTCCTCAAATATATATATATATATATATATATATATATATATTGTAAATTTCCCCAAGTTTATATTACATGTATATGTAAATTTCCTCATGGACTGTCCTTTAATTTAAATATTCATTATCATAAAGCAGAAACAAACAGAAATACTACTAATTTGAAAGATATTCCTGTGTTTGTCTATCCCTTATTCTAACAGAATGCTCTGTTTAAGAACTACCCATATATGCACACAATATAATGATCAAAAAATTAAAAGCTTAGGTCCAGAGTTTTCAGTTTATTGTCCTTGCATGTGATCCCAAGGTTGTATTTATGAGATGGGTGACAAATCTAAGGCTGAAGTTGAAGTTCGCTGAGCTCATTTTTGTTTTCTGTTTCTATTTCTTACCTGCTGGAGGCAGAATAGACAAGTGATCAGTTGAAACAATTAATGATGATAGGTGAGACTTGCTGTCAGACTTAATGAGCCAATGTTTATTTTCTTTTTGAAATCTGTAGAACTCAACATTGGGTAGTGGATGTATAGCACAAAATAACCACTCTTTTAATTAGGAAAGATGAATTTTGATAAAGAATTGAAAGTCTGTGAGGTACAGCTCGATCAATAATGTTCCTAAAGAAATATCAGTTGTACAGTTTTTAAAATGTGCTGTATGTACCTGCTTGATTTTATAGGTTTGCTTGATGTTTTCTTCATAGACTGTCCTTTAATTTAAATATTCATTATCATAAAACAGAAAGTACAATCTTAACTTCATTTTTGTTCTTTTAAGTTTCGTAGAAACGCCTGCTCATTTCTCTTGGAAAGAAAGTTATTACCGGTCCACCATGTCCCAGAGCACACAGACAAGTGAATTCCTCAGTCCAGAGGTTTTCCAGCATATCTGGGATTTTCTGGAACAGTAAGTATCCAATAAATAAGCGATGTTGTGCTCACAGTATTAAATGTAGATATATACGGGTGGACAAAATATTGCTGACAGTATATTTCTAGAATTAGTAAATAACTAGTTAATGCTGAAGAAATTTACTATCTCTAATATCATCACAATTTGCAAAAGGCAGTGGTTGTTTCTTCATTTTCTCATATCAAAAGATGATTGTTAAGGGCCGGCCGAATAGTTTAGGGATTGAAGCAACTGCAAGCAGGCGCAGGGGCCAGGGGTTCGATACCCGGGAGTGCCAGCCCCGCCCCCGGGGTGCACAGAGACGGCAATTGAGACTGGGCATGGTGGTGTGCGCCTGTAATCCCAGCTCTTGGGAAGCTGTAAACAGGTGGATCACTACAAGTCTGATCTAGCAGTGAGACCCTGAACACCCTGTAGATCCTTCCCTAAAATACAAAATAAATAAATAAATGATAGTTATTCAATGGTGATATAATTTTGGAGCTTCTGCAAGTTGTATCCTGCACAATATGAAGTAGCTTCCCCAGTGTCTCTCTGATACTCAAACTCTATTTTTTAGCTTGAAGTCCTATCCATAGTTAGAACACAAGTATGCCCAGGAAGACCAAACCCTAAGTTTTGTTGAACATTTTTATCTCTCTATGCAGTGTAATTACACCTTTCTTAAATGCAGGATTGAAATGAGCAAGGTAAGGAAATGATGAACAGAATATTAGAACATTAGGGACACTGTGGTACAAAGTACTCTACCGTTGACCCACTTGTCTGTCCTTCATCCCATCGAGCAGTTCTTTGAGGAGTGCAGCACTCATGATTTTTATTTAACAAAAAACATTTCGAGTTGCACTGCTTGAACTTGTACATCTGGAAAGTGGTTGAGCTAGGATTTCAGTTTCTGACTCTAAGTAAATAATAAGCCTTGCAGCTTTGAGGTAGAAAGCCCATGCTGCAAAGTGTGTTTTAGTTCCTTGCCTTGCCTCATGAGTTTCCTTTCCTTTATATTAGGCCTCTATGTTCAGTTCAGCCCATTGATCTGAACTTTGTGGATGAGTCATCAGAAAATGGTGCAACTAACAAGATTGAGATCAGCATGGATTGCATCCGTATGCAGGACTCAGACCTCAGGGACCCCATGTGGGTGAGTGAAAAGCGTTTCCTCTTTAACCTGTAGACCCTGCTAGCCACAGTTCAAGTGAGCTGGCATTTTAAAGGCCTACAAAAAAAAAAGGTGGATGTGAGCAGGCAGGACCCCAGCAAAGTCAGCCAGTACAGTCAACTGAGCTGCGATTAGTAGTAGCTTCTGCATCTGGGTTGGACCCAGTTCACTGGAAGGTGTGCAGGAGATTGAAAATAATATTTACATCTTTCATCTCTGTTGCTCTTCACGTCAACTCCAATTTAGAGAGAATGGTGCCCCCAAGGTTTTCCAGCTGGCTGAGATGAATAAAGCAGGAGAAGCTAAATCTAGTTCTACCCAGAACACTTCCCACTATGGCAAGTCCCCCCTGCTGAATCAAGTCCTCTAATGCCAGAGGAAGTACATTTGATGCACCTGTTTAGGTATTTGTGCTAGAGGAAGAAGAAAAGATAACCAGTACATAAAACAGAACCGTCATGGCTTTGCCACTGACTCACTCAGGCCCAAGGCCTCAGTTTCTCATTTATAAAATGACAAGAACTTGCATGTCGCATCCCTCCCAGGCAAGCTTAGGCGTGTAACATGTTAATGATGGTAACACGCTTTTCTGAGATGCTTAGATTACATGCGACATTGTACAGTCCGTAGTGCTGTCAGTTGGGTTTTTTTTTTTTTTTATCTCATTGATTTGTCATACAAAACCTACTTTACTTGTACTAAAAATTACTACAAAATACGGAATGTAGAGTTGGTGGAGTGCCTTGAAGAGTGCCTGTGGGCGCGTTTAAGGATGTAATTTGACATAAGAGTTTGCTGGAATCCTCACTGTGCACTTTTGTGGTATATATGCTATGCTTCTAAATATTGGGCTAAGGTAAAGTTGGGAAAGCAAAGAGGAAACAACCAAAAATGCAAATTATCAACCCGCAAATATGCTGATGTCTTGCCACTAAATTGAAGGGAAGATCAGTTACCTCATCTACCCCTTCATTTCACTACAGATACAATCCTCGGTCATCACTGAGTTAATTAAAGGAAATGGGCAGATACTTCCAAGAGGACCATCGTTCAAGGCCTCATAATGTATTTTAAGTGGACACCGTAGTGTGTACATTCTGATGGGTAGCACCTGCTAGACTTTTGTTTGTTCTCTAAATCCCAGAGATCATCTTTTTTGACTGTTGGATTCACAGAAATAGATTCAAAGTTGTAAAATTTAAAAAAATAAAATCGCAGTGTTTTTTTTTAATGTTATGGTTTCTGTTATCAGCATTTTGCAAATTAATGCGAGTGTCTTTGTAATGGTCCTTGATTTTTCTCTTCTTTGTAATTTTGGAAATGATCTCAAGAAAATCAGTTTCATTTTTCTCCTCTCTTTGCAGTTTTTATCTGTTTTTTTTTTTTTTTTTTGTAGCATTTGTCCTATCTTCTGGCGGAATCTTTTCTGTATCGCTATTTATGCCAGTTTGAATTAGAAACTGTCCCTCTGTGGCAATCTTAGCATATCTTTTGTTGTATTATGAATTGCACGAGATTAATCTGTTTCTCTTCCTCTAAAGGAGTTATGAAAAATATTTTGTTTTGTACAGTGCCTGAGATTTATGTAGTAAGTCCTGATAGAATGGGATTTTTGAAAATGCTGGAAAAGGAAACAGGGCATTGTCAGTAAAAAGAAAAAAATAGAGCATTTGGAACAAGTGTATAGACAGAAATACGAAAATAGATTGCGAATGAACCTAAATAAACATAAAAGCGTATCTATCTATGGCTTTCCTGTTTTTACCTACAAAGAATAGTAACATCCCCCGTCTTATAATTGTATATAAACCTGGAATCTTCCTCTTTTTAAAGACTCCTCCTATGTCTATATCTCTACCTCTCTCTCTCTTTCTATCCCTATCTCTGTCTCAAAATCTCTGTCTCTGCCTAACAGTGTATCTGCCTACCTATGTGTATCTCGTAGTTACACAGATGAAACTAGATTACAATAATCTTCCTCAGCAACAGTAGCAACGAAATGGTAGACTTGCTCCAAATGTTGATTACAAAGGTTTTGGTACATATATTAAATAAGAGACTCTAAGATTCCTAGTCCCTCTAAACTACTGCTGCAACTGGTCTCTTTTCTTCTTTAGCTTGGTAGAATACTTTCACTTTTCTGTGTTTAGATTAATTACTAAGGAGTTTCCAGAGTCTGAACATAAATTACTTTCTCTTCAATATAATATTTTAATAAGTTGGGATGTCAGCCAAGCATTCTTTCACTATGCAAGAAATATGACTCTATGGACACGAAAAGACATGTCAACCCATTAAGCAAAGGAATCTTGAAATTGAGGAATTCATCCCATTTTTACTGACTTTAATTGCAACCTTCACCTCGGTAACTAGTGAGGAAATGAGGCTACAGTGTTTTGCTCTGATCATTAACAAAAGAAATTTGAGTGGAATTGCAGCTAATGTGTGTGTCCTCTTCATTAGAATGATTTTAATGTTACCAAGAGTGAGGATGAATGGATTTTCTCAAAAAAAAATCTTTTAATTTAATGTGTATTTTCAACCGTGGTCTTGAGTCATGACTTGTGATTGATACACCACTTGCTGTCTCAGCGTTTTGCTGCTTTGGGATGCTGAGGGCACTCCCCCCACTTCCTCAGGAGGTGGACAACGGTCGTAACACTATGATGTTCTCTGGGAAGGACTGGTAGAGGGGATGTGATTTCCTTCTGCATTCGTTTATTCCTTGTACTTTGAGGGCAACCCCTTTAATCTCTGTCAGTCTTTTCCCTAAGAAGTTGAGTGCTAATTGTCTAAAACAACCTGTTTTGTAAATCCTAAATGTGCAATCCCACGTCCATGTGAAGAGCAAACAAGCTCAGCCTAGCAAGAGACCAAGGGGTAGCATCTTTGTTGGATTTTGGACAGGCATAGGCTGTAGCACAATCATACTCAGGTGCAAGGGTAGGTACAAAAGGATCTTCGTGTGATCCAGAACGTAAGCAAGATTCTAGTCCTGTGCTGCTCTAGCCCCAGTTAGCATGTTGTGTTCCTTACCACGCAGATGCGTGAATCGCAGGCTCTCACTTTATGAAGGCTGTAATGTAATGTGAAAGGCAAGTGTGTACAAAATCATCTACAAAATATGCTCAGAAATATGTACATTTGAAAGGTAATGGTGCATTGTGACTGAGAAAGGCCGGAAACAGAGAAAATGATTTACATATAGGTCTTCAAATTTGAGGAAAAGTGAAGAAAACACAGAAGAAAGTGTTACAAACTTGGCTAACCATTACTGTTAAAACCATGTGATGTTACAAGTTTTAGAAAAGAGTTAAAACTTTCATTACAGGTAAATTTGTGTAGGCTATATAAATTCAAAATTAAACATAATAACAAAGATTTAGTAGCTGAAATCTTAAAAATTGAGAAAGATCACCCCTTTATTGTCAAAGGGTGTGAGTAACTTATCTATGAGCATAGAGATCTTTTAATAAACATAATATTTGCAAATTCTTTACTAATTAAAATTCACAAATTTAAACAAGATATGCTCTGATCAGCAAAGATTTGTGTGGTTGATAATAGCCAACATAGGTGAGATTTTTGAAAAAATTAAGCAGTTCTTTTTCACTTTTGTGGGGATATAAATTGATATATTGAAAGATATCTGCTCATTCTAATTTATTTAGTTTTTAAAACTTTCTCTTCTGGTCTGTAAGTTCTAGGTACTTATTATACAAAACCATTTAAATATAAACAAATATAAGTATGCATTCATACACATAAAAAAAGAAGGTTTCATTGTAACACTGATTTTAATTAAATGGATAAAATGAGAAGGAATCCTAGAGACCTTAGTTTTGAAATTTGACACATGTGGGGGAAAATAAAACCCTACAATTCAAAGAAAATAAGGCTGGATCCCATCATTGGGAGAGAATAGCAGCAGCTACAACATACAGTCCTTTTAGTGTTGGTGGTCAGTTTGTTCATAAGCCCCTGTGATTTCTACATGTGCTTTATGGGATGTGTCTTTTATTCTACACTGTGTAGAATCAATATTTCATTTTACATATTTTTGAACCCATTGTTAAAATCATCTGGGCCTGAGATTTCTTTAAGGGAGAAGGCTCAGTGTTTATGAATTAATTCCTTCAATGATTAAGAACTGCTAATATTATCTACTTACTCTGCTTAAGAATTGGCAAATTTGGTGTTTTGAGGAATTGGTTGATTAAAATCATTGAGCCATGTTTAGTATTTCTTGGAATATTATTTCTTACAAGTTGTTTTTAAATGTATTGAGTACAGGGTCTACAGGGTCTCACTGCATAGATTGGACTCATAGTAATTCTCCTATTTGCACCATCCCAAATGCTGGGATTACAGGCACAGGCTACCACTCCCAGTCTTAATCACTGTCTCAGCATAGCTAGGGGCAGAGCTGGCACGGCGACCTGGAACCGAACCCCAGACCTCTGCATTGGCCTAAGCAGGCACTTTAATCCACTGAGCTATCTGGTTGGCCCTTATTTCTTATGATTTTAATATATGTGAAATCTGTAATGATATTCTCTTCTTTCATTTCTTATGTTAGTAACTTTTTATTTTTTATTGTCAGTCTTACACTAGACTAGCCGGTTTCATTTATCTTCCAAGAAGAACAACTTAGAATATGGTTTCAACATTTTTTATGTATTATTTTTCTATTTTCCACTTCATTTCTGGTCTCATTTCCTAACTTCCACTCCTCCGGATTTATTTCCTCTTCCTTTCCAAGTTTATTTTTTTAAAAGCTCATAGAGTTGGGACTCTTCTTCTCTTCCAAGCATTTTACTGTGAAAAATTCTCCCTTAGGTACTGAGTGAGCTGATTCCAGTAAGTATCGATCTATTGCATTTTCAATTCAGTTCAGTTTCAACTAGTTCTAATTTCCCTTGAGACTTTCCCTTTGACCCACTGGTATTTAAGAGCATGTGTTTTTAATATTTTTAAACTTT